CTGCGAGTGGCCAACGAGTCCGAGCTTCTCAAAGCCTGTCTCGAAGAGTACCCGGGAAACCAGTGCCGGTAGGTCCAGCACCCCCATCTGCTGGATATTCCAAGCCCACATCCGTGGATCCGACTGAAACAACGTCGTGTGTTCCGGAACCATGCCGCACCGATTGTTTCCGAGCCAGACATCGTAGCCTGACTTGCACAAAAAGAACGCAAGGCTGTCGTCATCGTTGGCACAGAATGCCCCGGCGCTTTGCAGCAGCCCGTGCATCAGGAGCACAGGGTATTTGCCCGGAGCTTGGCGAGAGGCCTCGGGGTTGGTCTGGCCAGTGAAGACGTGTGGGCCTCGCGGGCGCCGGGCCTTAGGAGGCAAGGGGGTGTGTTCCTGCGGGTTGTAGACATGCCACAAGGTGAGGATGAACCCATCCTCGGTTTGCACCTTGAAAGTCTCCACATCTAGCCCTACCCGTCTAGCGTAGTATGCTACATCGCATACAACCGGATCCCTACCCCCTTCCAAGGGCGGACATTCATCCAGTGCCTCCTCATCCACCTCCTTCTCTCGTCGGTAACTCCACCTCCGCGAAGCCTTGTTTCGCTCTACCTGCCGTGACCGCTCCTCCTCGTGAAATAATCTCGTAGTGTGGGGAGACCGTCCGCCTATCTTCCGACGAATCTGCAAGACAGATGCACTAGCGGTCTGAATAATAGCGCCTAGGATGACTGTTCCGAGAAAGACGAGGGATAAAACGAAGGATACGCAGCGGATGATCAGATGCTGGACTGAGGTAATCAGGGAAGGCGGTCCGTAAGACGGTAGCGGTGGGAACAATGGGTGTGTAACATTATTTGCAATCGAGCTGCCGAGTTGATTCTTCCATGAAATTGGTCCTTCCTCTCCAAGTAGTCGTTCAGTGACCGCCGAGGCATTTTCCGAATCCTGATCACAAGCGGGGCCCAAATCCTGCAACTCATACCCTGTCTGTAAGGGTGTTTTCAGCCCTGCGTCGGGCGCTGTATGCTGCTCAATGGAACCGACTTCAACGGTGGTATCGAAGTAAGGGGCCTTGTCAGAAACGCGCGATTCAGCGCCCCGGGCAACACTGGTGGACAGCCCCTCGTCGGGGTCGGCTTCAGAGATGAACATGGGGGATCAGGGTACAGTCGCTGATCCAAAAGCAGGGAAGGAAAAGGGCCGCATTTTCAGTTAACGAGGAAGGGGGGAGAAAGAGGGAGTCGGGAGGGAGTAATAGGGGATGAAGATCGAGGCGAAGCAGAGACGATCTGGAATCGCAGCCTTCCCCAATGATGAAAGATTGGCCCCAGATTTCAGGCCAGCATCACGTGTGGTGGGCCCGTGCACGTCACCCGGTGGGGGGTGGCGCCCAATCAGCGACGGGGGATCGTTGCCTGAGGCGTCACAGGGGGGTCATTCTCTCAGGCTCTCAGGCACCAAAGGGTCACAGGTGACGTGCAAATGACATGCAGGAAGAAGAGATAAGAAGAGATTGGTGATTCAATCATAGTCATATATATCATATCGTGCGCTAAATACAACACATCATAGGCTAACTATATAAACAGAAAGAAAGAAACCCCATATCCAGCCATATCCAAATAAATAAATAAAGTCATATCCTAAGCCATATAAGAATCCATATTAAGCCGTCTCAATATGCTGAGACTCGCGCTTCTGGGGGAGTTCACCCTCCACTTCGTACACACTGGGCCCGGCCTTGTCGGTATCTGCACCGGCGAAGTGTGCCGAAGGGATGAATCCCGGAGAGCGCCAGGCTGCCGACACCTTCGAGTAGAGCTCGTCCACCTGCTCCAGACTGAGGCCCTTGGTCTCGTAGATGCAGGTGTACACAAAAACTCCCGCAACGAAGCAGAAGCCACCCCAGATAAAGAAGACTTTGGACTGCAGGTTCGCGTTGCCCGGACCGGAATCCACCATGTAGGGGGTGGCATAGGCGATGGCCCAGTTCAGCAGCCAGTTCGTGGCCGTCGTGATGGAGAGACACTTGGCACGAGCCTTGAGTGGGTACAATTCACCTGTCACAACCCACGCGACGGGGCCCCAGGAGCTGGCGAAGAAGAAGATGTAGATGCAGACAAAGGCGATCAGGACCTTATTGGCCACGTCCGAGGAAGCCACCATGCCCACAATAGCCACGATCAGCTGGCACACGCACATGCCAACCGCACCGAACAGCAGCAAGGGCCGGCGACCCCATTTCTCAACCATGTACAGGCCCGGGAACGTGGAGACCACGTTGACAATGTTAGTGATGAGTGTGATGGTAAAGCTGTTCTGAATGCCCGAGCGCTGGAAAAAGGTAGTTCCGTAGTAAACTGAAAGCGATTAGTCTGAGAACCTTGACGAATCAGAAGAAGCACACTTACAGATGAAATTGACTCCAGCGAGTTGTTGCAGCGCCTGCACAGCACATCCAGTGGCCAACCGCTTACCCAGGGAGCCAGTCAGAATGTCGCGGAAGCTTGCCTTGCCCACGCTCATCTCGTATTCGTGCGAGGCGCGGATCTCCATCAATTCATCCACGACGGCCTGGTCGTCAACATCCATGCGACGAAGACGGGCAAGCGCCTTGGCCGCGGCCTCGTGTCTATCCTTCTTGATCAGGAAGCGTGGCGTTTCGGGAAGCACACTCATTCCGACAACGAGGATGATGGCCCATGCGAACTGGACGGCAACCGGAATGCGGTAGCTACCAGTATCCATGCGGTCCTTGGTGGCATTGTTGACGACAGAAGCAAGCAGCAGACCAATGGTGATGGCCAGCTGATAGGCGCCGACAATGGTACCACGAATCCACTTCGGGGCCGTCTCAGACTGGTAAAGAGGGACTGTATTCCAGTTAGCTCGTGTCTAAGTAACATAGGGGCTTGTTGACTCACTAGTTGCAGAGAGTAAACCAACACCAAAGCCAGCGAAGAACCGCCCAGCGACGAACAGCGGGATCGAGGTGGCTGCGGTTTGGAGGACTACACCGAAGCAGAAGACAAATGATTCGATGATCATGGCAATGCGGCGACCAAAGTAATCCGCAACGGGAGCAGAGGCCAGGGCACCAAAGAAAGTACCGGCAGACAGCAATGACACAATCATGGAAGACTGAGATGAGGTTACATCGGGGTAGTCATCAGAGGGGTTGATGTATCCGGTAGAGAACATCTTCCGCCAGAACTTCATGGCCAGGATGCCACTGATAGTTCCGGTGTCATATCTATTCACATCCAGGTCAGACACACATCCCACGTAGCATGACTGAGTATAGGAATACATACCCGAAGAGGATACCTCCAAAGGAGACAAACAGACCGATCATGATGGCGGGGGCCGCTGAGCCCACCGCATCATCTGGTCTCTTCAACAAGAAACCCATAGTATGATCGGGATACCAAAGGCAGAGCAATCGACTGAAAGTAAGGGATGTGGGGTCAGGCAAAGATTAGGTGAGCGAGGTAGTAGTGAGCAGTAGTGAGCAATGTGTAAGAGTCAATTGAGCCGGGGAAGGTAAGATGATGAGAGATCCATTACCCCAGACCCGGGCCATGGAGGCCTTTATGTAGTATTTGGAGCGGGACGCGGGGATGGCAGCACGCAGGCAGATTCGTCCCCAGATCCGGCAGACCGACAACCAGACCGGCCGGAATCAGTCAGTCTCTGCGCGCCACTGACCACGGAATCGGGCTAGGTGAGAGAACGGGGCCCCAGACTCCGCAGTCTCATTGCGAGTGTGTGTGCCGAGTCTGGAGAAGAACGTTGGGCCGAGGCGCCATGAGTGGGGGATAAACACGAGGGAACCACTCAATGGCCGAGTCCGAGACAAGCCAAGCCAACATGAAGCTGTAGACTCAAGAGACTGGCTGAGAGAGTGAGAGCATGGGGGTGCCGAAGATTGACTATGACGGCGCGGACAAAAGTCAAATTGAGGCATTTGGCCGAGATCATCCCGATCATCCACGGGTCCCCAGACCGGTCTCAGCCACGATCATGGTCGGTCAGTAGAGAATCGGGATATCGCACGCGAGCCATTGCAGCCGGTGTAATTGGAAGCGGGTGGTTTGGATCTAGAGAGATCTAGAAAGAGGCGCGGAGATGAGGCCAGACGCGGCTGGTGCAGACAGAAGATGTGGAAAAGAGGCCGGGAACGGCCAGCCAGACTCGCGTGGCCGGCGGGCCAGATCTCCCACTTGTTTTGCCCGACTCTATTTCCGGCTGGGGATCTAAATCACCTAGCGCACAATAGGAAATATACACGGTTCCTTGACACACGGGTTTTGATGAGCAGACCCTGAGGGCTGCCCGTCCCTGTGTTGTCCTGGTGAGTCCGGGGTTCCTGGGGACCCGAACCGAAAATACCAGTCGAGCTCCGGCCATTCAACGGGCTCAGCCACGCTTTGCCCATCGGTGGCAACCATGGATTGCTTTCTTCCCAGTCAACAATTGAATTCAGGTTCACACTATCTTCTCACCGGAGCCGCTTTAGGCTTGGGCAGTCAACAGAATAGAGTCTGGGCGTTTGCTTTCCATCCCAATTGCATGGGTTGTGAAGGCAATTTGGTTTGAGCAGGCCGCCACCAGGATGCTTAATTTAGTGTGTTAATGCTCGTGTGATTGGCCCTGTAGGGATGAATCCCCGAGATATGCCCGCACCTGGTCCAGTAACCAGTAAGAGAATTGCGCAAGCGAGAAATGGGTCGATTGCTGAGGGTGCGACGCTGAGGGTCTGGTTTTCAAAGTCTATCCGGGTTAGAGTTGGTCACCTGGCCTGGCTGGGAAGGGATCGACCGTAGATGCTGTCTATCATCCATGGACATCATCCTTTGGTATGGCTTGCAGATAGCCTGCCCACGATGTTCTCTTTTGTACAATGAATTGGATAAGAAAAATACATCATGATGCAAAAAAATGTGTCAAGAGAAGAAATAGTGTATGTAGCAAAAAAAAAAAATAAGGGTCAAAAAAGAAATGAATTTCTCCGATACGGGGAATCGAACCCCGAGCTGCCGCGGTCAAGTCTTTCGGTTTGAAAGGCGGCGATGTTAGCCGTTACACCATATCGGATGTGATGGAAAATATTACCTCACTATTGGCTATACAAGCCAGCAAAGAGATGCCGTGCGGAAACAGTATCTCGATGTCGGTGAGTACAAGATCACGCTCTACTCGCCTTTGCTAATCCTTAACATGCATTGAAAAGTCTTGTAAATGTGCATTTCTCTCAGTTGGACTGATCCTTACTCAGTCGAGTACCAGTACTACTACAGACGATACTAGGTAGTATAGCGAGTGACTCTTTTGAAGAATATATATATATATATACTACCACTAGTATTTCCATCATAGTGCGCCTAACATGAAATATAGTAGTAGCAATTGGACTTTTCTACAGACGAGTCACCTCTATTGCTGACAGGGCCTGTTAAGAACCAAAACCAGCCACCCCAGTACCATTATACATATACTTAGTACCTATGATATAGTTGTTTTTTGCTCCCCACCACCAGAAGACGCCATTCAACCATGCACGCCTGCCCAAAGTTACAATATGGAAGGGCCAGAGATCTATGTACAGACAATATTTACCCACGCAGCGAAACCGAAAAAAACACTATCGCCTACCATCGCCAGATGAGGAAGAAATACCAACATAACGCAATTCTGGCAACTCCCATGACCGATGCAAGGAATTCCTCCTTCACCAGGGCCATTTGGGAAGCGCTAGCCCCCGGCCGTCGTGGCCCGCCACGCGATGGCTTCCACTTGGCGCTGCCCACTTTGTCCTCATCTGAGCCCGCGTAAGCAGCATGTATGGGAGGTGCGTTTACCGCACGGCTGGCCAGCCCGCGAGGCGACGGGAACGTGGAACTAGACGTACCAGAAGAAGGGGTCTTGTAGCGGGCCGCGCGCTGCGGAGGCGGGGAGCGATGTTCTGACAAGGGCAGAATGGGCTCGTCGGGACTCGTTCCGGATGGGCGATATTTTACAATGATCGCAGCGCGCACGAGGAGGACGCACAGGGTGACACCAAGGATTACCCCGTAATAGATGAAGATGGATAATTGGTCCGGGAGCAGACACAGGTGGTTCTGGACCGTGCGACCGGCATTAGCGGTCCCATCGGGCTCACCAGTGGCCAGATCAAGAGGATTCCACAAGCTGGTGAGTACGAAGCCCGGTTTCCGGATTCCCATGGCCCATGAGAGGCTCTTCACTGTAATCTCCTTAGGAGACCCGCTGAACTCGTGATGGGAGATCTCGCAGTAATCGTGGTCATCCCCGGAATACATCTGGACCAAATTAGGCCCGACCTTTGAGACGATATCCCGAGAGATGGCCGGGGTCAAAACATTTTGATATTGATAGCCCCGACCCATCGAAATAGCGTTCCGGTCATCCTCCTCCAAACCCTCGCCACTGGGCGGGTAGTGTTCGCGATAGGGCCCACACGGCGTGGCCGGTCGGCGATACAAAGGTACGTGAGAAAGAAGGATCGTGGGAAATCCCGCAACCTCCGGTTTGAGCTGCGGGTCGACGGACGGTTCCAAGATATCAACAGCCCGATGCTGAAACTGACGGCCCTCAGTCTTATTGGTGAGCATGCGCAATGCCTCAACTTCCGCCCTGCCCCGATGTATGTTCATGCGATCGAGGAAATCCTGGGTATCTCTCCAAATGTGTTCGTTTGGCTGGTCTCCATCGCCCGAGCCTGTGCCCGAGCTGCCTGTCTCCGGATCCGGCTGGTCCATGGCGCTCAGCGACACGGTGTCAACAGAGATAAATGTATGGTTCCCAATGACATCAACGCGATTGCTTTTACCAAAGAAGCTCTGAAACCGATCGCGCACCGGGATCTGGACACCCGAACCAAAACCCAGATCGTGATTTCCAGGCAAGCTAGTGATCAACCTCCGCCCAAGCGGGTGACGTATGTGATCATCACCGTCTTTCCATGTATCCACAAATATTTTCACGAACCGATGGAACTCTTTCTTCCAAAATCGGTCCTTATATTTCTTGTAGCGTTTCTCCGGGCTAGAACTGGATGCCGTAGCCCATTCCCTGCCCCCGTCGAAAAGGTCACCCAGAAACAACACGGAATCTGGGCCTAGTTCTTTCTGAATGGACGAGAAGGATCTCCGAAGGTATTGATCGGTGAATTTGACGGTCAACGTTGAAAGAGGCCATGGCCGGCCGGGATAGGTATGAGGATCGACTAATTGTGGGTCGGCTATGAAGGCGACATGATGTGGAATTGCGTCTTGGGGCTGTATCGAGCAAACGTGGCGAGTTAGCGGAGGAAAGAAAGGGACAGATTCCAACGTCGACCACCTACCCATCTCTCCCAATTACCCCAGTTGCATGCTTTCACGCTGTCCTGAAAGACAGTCCGTTCGCCCCACCATAATGTACAGATCCATAAAGCAACCAAAGCGTTCGTGACGGTGAAGACGTATCTAGCGACTCGCTTGAATAGCGACAATATCCCATGTCTAGTACTTGTCGCCTCACGTATATCCGAAGCCCACCGTTTCGGCCATGGCGGCGGTGATTGATCCCGCTCCGACGAACCCGAGGACCACGCGGGAGAACCTGGTCGAGCAGGACGATAAGAGTCGGCAATGGCGTTGTGCGTGTACGAATAGCTCATCTTCGTTGTTTCAGCCTATGGATGGTCGAGCGCAGCTCTGCTGCATTGCGGTACCGAGGCTGACACGAGAGGTGGGCAGCTAGCAGTTGACCGAACCGGAGATCATGCTTTGGGGAGCATCAACAATTGCAATAGAACACAATAAACGAGCGACAGGTCAGCTAGAAATTAGATATAAGAATGAGGAAATGAGAGTCAGTGCATGACGATGTGGGAATGGATGGTCCAAGGGGGATCGCCGCCGATTGACGGATGGAGACACATCACGTGTGTTGCGGCTGGGCGCGACTCTTTTGAGACATTTGTCCCCGATTTGGCCCCGGGCCTCAATATTCAGGGTCTGAGAAACACTTGGCAGCCAAAGCTCCGCTACTACACTCCACTCAGGTCCATAATTCAGGGGAAATACTACTTGAAAGCGAAGACGACAGTTTCAGATCACATGCAATGTCATTGCTAAGAATACAAGAGAAGAATAAGAAAAAGTGTAAAGAATGCAATTACGCTTGTCAGTGACAAGTCTCATCACATGCCGCCATCTAGGAAGTCCACCCAACATGCACCAAGTTGACCTGAGATGCAATATCAACCACGGCCAGTCCAAACACATAGGTTCCAGTCATACAAATAATGGGGTATGTTGAATAGAAGGGAAAATTAATATGGTGAGGTTGTAAGGAAGGTGTAAGAACAAAGAATCATAGGATAGGGAGAATTTTTATCGGACTACCTCACGGTGATTGCTTGGGGCAACACTGGCCACCCCGGGCACACTCCTCGCCACATTCTAGGAGGCACGCTTGCGAGTCACCGTCAGGTACACTGGGTGTTCGACTGGGGAGAGTCCCCGAGGCGGAGGCTCCGTTGCTACCGCCACGGTAGTCCGAGGGGGCCATGATCGTATCCTCAGCGTCACTATCGGGCGCAAACTCAGGCTGGATCGTCGAAGAATGGATTCCATAAGCGTGCAAGCACTTCCTTACTTGCCTGGCCAGACGCATATAGCGCTCTGAGCCTTCACCCTTGATCTCCGTGTCCACCTGGATGTGAATAGAGGCGACTAACTTGGTGTCGCTCAGCTGCCAGACGTGCAGGTGGTGGGAGCCGATGACGCCCGGAAGTCCTTCAATGTCCTCCTTGATATGGTCGATGCTGAGGCCGTGGGGCGCTGCCTGCAAGAGAATACGCGACGCGGCCTTGCACAGGGGAATGGCGGAAAGCAGAATAATCACAGTGATAACAAGCGAAATCCCAGGATCCACGTAAAATCGCCAAGAATAATCGGTCAGCCAGATGATGAGCGCAGAAGCGATGACACCGATGTTGCCCAGTGCATCGCCCATCACATGAAGGAAGACGCCCCGCATGTTGAGGTCATGACCGTGGCCATGACCATGCTTTTCGTCTTTGGGCTTTGGTTGAGCATGATTGTGGAATTTGTGGAGATCATCATCGGCTGCAGCAGTCCGGGATCGAGCAAGTGACTCCGTCTCGTCGGTATATTTACCAGTGCGACCGCCGTGACCGAGGAGGGCTGAGCGCTCAGATGGCTGGCTGTCGGCGCCCTCTTGAAGATCGCTGTCCGAGCCGGACTGTTCATCATCATAACGGTTCTTACTGGCGGCGATAATCTCCTGTCTCATACTAGCGGGGTGAATCTGGATGTCTTCCACGTCAACATATCCACTGTAGCGACTGTCGACTGTCCGGCGGCGACGCGAATAGGGAGAGTGTGGCTCGGCACCACCAGTCTGCTTAGTACACTTGTGTCAGCTACATATATCTGGTAGAGATGGGTCCACTAACGTTGTTCTGGCCATCTGTGTGCACGTGGTCATGATCGTGATCATGGCCCGCAGCATGTACATGGTCATCAGCGCCTTCTTCCAGATCTCCATGGCCATGACTGTGGCCGTGCCCGTGAGAGTGGTCATGGAATAGAACAAGGCCGATTATGTTCGACAGCAATCCCAGGCATCCAACGATGCAGACGAACTTCGGGTTCTTCACTTCCTGAGGCTCAACTAGTCTTTGTATAGCTTCCAGGAAAATCGATAGACACAGAGCGACCAGGAAGACACCATTCACTAGAGCACCAAGAGTTTCTGCGCGTTGCCACTAAAGAACGAAACTGTCAGGATGAGAGGTGGACCTGTAGGATCGAGACGAGCTTACCCCGTAGGTGTACATCTTTGAGTTGGTTTCGCGGTTGGCGACCTTGACAGCCCAGAGGCCCACACATAGTGACAGTACATCATTCAGCTGTGCCATAAGTTGTCAGAATCATGCTATCCCTAAGGTATTCCAGGTAAGACGAGGATATAAGGCGTACCATGTGAAACGAATCGGCAACGAGGGCAAGGGAGTGAACGGAATAACCTGCGCGAAGAATTATCGTTAAGAGACGCCTGTGAGCATATAACGGTATAGACACGAACCAGCAATCAATTCCAACAAGAAGAAAGCCGTATCAATCGCCAACAGGATCAAGATCCTGTTTGTCTTGGAGAGACCCATGATGGTTGAGGCCTTGCGCTCAGTGGCGCGAAAATGAAGGAGAAAAGGGACGGATGACGGCAGACTTCCAATCTAATCGTGGTTGTAGTCGTTCATATACCAAAGTCCGCCGAACAGTACACCAAGGACGACCTAGGAGGGAACGCGACTAAGCGGGAGAAGAGGAGGAGGAGAGAAGAGGATAGGAAAGAAGACCAGGCGATAAATAAGTCATGGAGGAAATGAGGGAGAAAGAAAGAGTGACGCGGATTTCCTTGGAGCGACAAAGTGGAGAGAAATGGCAGAGTCCGGCGGAAGGCCGACCGGAACCAAAGTGGCGTTAGTTGCTTAGTTGCTGCTCCGGCCTCAGGCGCCCATCCGGCCTCGGCGGGGTTTAGTGGCCAGCCTTATCACTATTCCGTCTCCACTACTCCCTGCCTCCTGCCTACTATTCTCATCTCTTGTCCATCTATCTTCATTATGATTCTCTACTCAACAGAGACGTTTTCATCATCGTTGAATGCATTACCTCGATACATAATACATGCAAATTGCAAAAGATACCCTGCTGGCAAATTCTAAACCTGTCTGTCTGCCACATGCACTACCCGAAACTGGTTCTTGCAGCTGCCGACATCATCGAGGTACAAAGGTACGTGGTACCCACTCCACAGTGTTTTCTCCACCCTCTCCTGAACTGCTGCTATACATAATCGGTACGCCGCTACGATCTCCCGTGACTCGTTGAAGTGATCGTCCTGATTTGTTAGGATATAAATTCTGTTTTTTTTTTTTTACTGTCTCGTATCAACTTGCTGCGCCAGTTCATTCTCTGATGACCTATACACAAAACGGCAAACACAGCAGCGTCTTTGTTGTGTGTGCAACATCATGACTCGGAAGAAAGAAAATTTCGGCACTAAGCCCAAAGACTAATGCGGCGGCTAGTACGCCATGGGCGACCGTCAGTGCGCTAGCCATGCAACTATATTCTATTTTGGCGAGCAGCCGACCGGCTAGACAAGGATTCATTTTGCGAAATGAAGTGGGTTTTAGGGTCTGTTTGAGATGCCTACAGAGTGCCCATTGGGTATCCTGACCACTCATGAAGACCTGGGACAAATCTGGTAACTGGACGGCCTTTGGAAGGGCTGACTGTGATATGCACCTTGACGAATCAGCATGACGAGGGTCCAGGTAAGCCAAAAGTAACGTTTCGGATAACGGAGCAGATCTAAATCGCTCAATATCCCGGAGATTATGGCTTGCGCACTATACATGACTGGATCCACTGTCGCCAATTTCACCAAAGAAGCTCCTTGGCTCTGAATTTTGTTTCACACAGACTGGATTTCGAACTATCTCAACCGATGACACCGGAATCACTCCCGACATTTCCGACTTATAGTGATGGGTACTATTTTAGCTCCTCCATTTGGTATGTATCTAGCGGTATTTTGGTCAAGATCTGGCGCACCTGCCATGTCATGCGCATTTGACAGTGAACCGAAACCCGTATAGCGGAGCATAACAATCCTGCAGGGTTTTAAGCGAGAGTCCCTACTTACCACAACGTATTAATACTTTCAACCTGATTAGCTATGGCTGTTGGCTTAACAATGCCTGACTATGGCAACATGGCCCATAGCTCCCAAACATACTTTGCGATTGCATGGAGCAATCGTTGTACTCCAGCCGGTCTAGTACTCCGTTACAATAGTATGCCACCGAGACTTCAGAAGAGCGTAAAATTTACATGTAGAACCCATGGGAAAGTGCTATATACAACATGTACACAACCAGTTACCACAAATGGGCTTCTAACATCACATCTCTACGCCGTATACGCCGGCGGCGGCGACATCTCCCTCTCCCCCTCTTCGTCCGAACTCTCCTCCTCCAACCAATACTTCACATCCTTGCTACCCAACTTCTTCTCATCAACAGGAAACTGCATCTTCTGCACACCAACAATCAGCCAAACCCTCCAAATCAGAATACATCAACAAGAATAGGAAAAGAGAAGAAAACTTACCCCCTCACCCCCCTTCTTCAACACCACCACCTCCTCCCCCTCCCTAACCCTCCCCACCAACACCCCATCCTTCCAAACCCCATTCCTAACCACCATCCCCTCCAGATCCGTCCTCACCAGCACACAATACAACACATCACAGTCCACCAATTTGCACCGCTGCACCCGACACTCATCGGCAATCATGCACTTCGACACATTACTTCGCCAGAGAGAACTCCCGCACAATAAACTAGTATCTTTCACCTTGCTGCGCTTCACAGAGGCGCGATCGCGGAGAATCACGTTGGAAAGGGTGCTTCGGTGCGAATAGGTGTAGACGTCGAAGGAGGCATGCGTGGCTTCGGTGCGGGAGACAATGGCGTTAGTGAGGGTGGTGTGGGTTAGCTTGGAGCGGTAAGTGGATGAGTGCTTGACGATGCAGGATGTTAGGGCGGAGCGAAGGAGGCTGGTGGGGGTTTTGGCACCGCCGGAGCAGGTGATGGTTACGTCGCGGAGGTCGCTGCGGGTGATGGTGTCGGAGGGGGTGAGCTCGTTGAAAGTGCTGTTGATGAAGGTGGAGCGGGTGATGGTGGGGAGGGTGGATGTTGATATTGAGGTCATTGTTGTGGATTGGATAGGTTAGGTTGGTGTTAATTCATACAAAGTAACTAGTAGAAGGAGAGGAGGAAGATAAGGTTAGATTGATAAAGTAAGGGAGCGAATATGTTGCTGCCTATTGGGACTCTGATAGCATATAAGATGCTTAGCTATTGTCTATATGATGATGGATGCCTGGAAAGGGTTACATGGATCCTGTTTACTTAGTTTAGGCCGCGAAATTCGTACTCTGACTAAGAACTTCCAAGTTAGCACCCAGATACGCAGGGGCCGTGAGCTGGAGATCACATGTTCCGCCGGGTTTACTTGATGGCTCATATAGCATGTAATCATGTTCATAGTATCGAGGGGTTAATCGTGGTAATATTGGTAAGCAAAAGAATTATGCTATGACGGATATCAATGCCATGCTCGAGTCTTCAAACGGAGATCGCAAGGTTGGTTTCATAACTATGAAGAGGTGAAGCCCGAAATAAAGCAGTCCTTTGTGCCAAGTTTGATCTTGTAGATGGTGTATATGCATAGGTGAGTGAGACATGCCTGTCGGGCCAGGCGGGCCTATTGTTTTCCATTCATTTTTGCCTGTGGCGCAAATGCTAGCACAGAGGGCTGGGGCTTGTTTCGTTGTGGCGGATTCCTGGCACGTCAGTGTCAGTTAGGAGTGTGCGATTCTCGAGCACAGGCGGTTCTGATGCTCTTTGGCAGAGTAGCCACGAAGGAGGATGTCTTCGCAAATCATAGAGAATGGATGGCGGGAATCTCATATTTTGATAGCTTTAATCAAGCGTGCGTGGGCGGAAAGAATGTCCGTGTTGAGGTAGACGTCTCAAAGGTCTGTACGCGTCTTTAGAATGAGGCAGAGCATAGCGCGGAACCCTCAGCTGTGCCACCGCAACAAGTTGAGAGGGTGGCGGATCAGAAAAATAATATGCCGCGGAGTCTATTGGGTGGCATAGCGGTTGTTGAGAAACCAAGAATGAAAGCAATGATACACCTGCAGAAGGATGTAAGGTTGTCCGCTTCTGAAGTCAAATCTAGATTTTGGAAGATGCTGGAACCGTAGGGGACGAGGCAAGATGTCTGAAGAATCCTTGGCCGCTTGCTCAGGAAATTGGCTTGGCTTGGCTATGTAGTCGGTGTAATCCGCCCTTGTAGCAGGTGCTGTTATCCAGTTCCGTGCATTTGCTGTCTTCAATCTCTACGGATAGACCGGACGCTGGCTGTCATCGACCCAACTCTACCAGAACAAGGTGGATGATCACCCTCCACGCGAGTAATGTCGTACAAGAGGGACAGATAGCGACTTTTTTTGTAGAGAAAGCAGTCCAGACCCATTTTTCCAAAGCAAGGGTACGGTGAGCACGATCAGTTGAACAGACCCCTTGCTTCACCTTGTAGAGATGCGACAGTTCTTAAGAACCGATGCCAATTTCACAAGGTTAAAAGCTCGGACTATTAAACTGTCAATATAGGGCTCGATAAAGTTTGTTAGGCTTTGAAAGCCCTATATTATATAATGAAAATGACAGCGGATTTGGATCGAAAAGGTACCATCGTGAGCATCGAGAGCATCCAAGATGGCGAAATCGGCATTCTCGATTTGGACAGCGGTGTCACCCCTGAAATCAACGGGGATGGAATGCCGCGCCAGTTCAATTGGCTTTCAACTCTTGGGATATCTTTCTCAATCACAAACTCCTGGGCAGGGTACTTGGTAAGCGTCTATACCAGAGCGCCAGTGACATCTTCTGAAGCATACAATATGCAGAGCAACTTTGGCCAGATACTGGCTTATGGCGGACCTCGATTAGTCATATTTGGATCTATCTGCGCTTTTGTCGTTCAGATTATTGTAATTCTCGGGCTCAGTGAGCTGGCATCGGCCTTTCCGGTACGCTCTCTGCAACTTCATCCTTGAGCTTTGTCTTGATCGCACGGCTCACAGGACTAGTCAAGCGGAGGTCAGTATTATTTCTGCTACATGCTCAGTCCGGCGAAGTCGAAGAGATTCTCAGCGTTTGTGGTCGGATGTATGTCTGTCTTAGCATGGTGGATAGTGACGTGGGTTGCACCGCCCCAGATCTGTCGATCGACAAGGCCCTGATGATCGTTGCAGATCTTCCGGTGTCCAGATGGTTACGGCCTCCCTTGCGGGTATAGTCAAATTTTGGCACACAGAATATACGGCCGCCCAGTGGCATATATACCTGGTATATATTGCTATATCTCTGCTCACGTGTGAGAATCATTGTCCAAAATGGCAACTCAGAGTAGCTAATCCACTAGTGACACCGATATTCTTGGCTCCGAGTAAAGTCAACTGGACGGTTCAGACAGCCCTCTACCTATCCCTTACGGGCATGGCCCTCATTATCGTTATCTCACTGGGTATGTGCCAGGAAAAACAACCAGCGTCATTCCTGCTTCAATCAGGATATGGGAGATCTGGCTGGAATGAAGGTACTGCGTGGATGCTGGGCATAATGAATACCATGTATTCTATGACAGGAATTGATGCTGGTATGTCTGTATCCGTAAGCTTTATGACTTGTCACTTACTGGCCGACCGATGATGCCCAGCTATCCACATTAGCGAAGAGCTTCCTCAACCAGGGAAACGCGTCCCTCAGGCCATGACCATGAGTGTGATTCTGAGTCTCGCTACATGTCTTCCATTGTCGGTTGCACTGATGTTCTGCATGTCTGATATGGAAGCGGTTATCAATTCGGAACTCCCAAGCATGGAAGTGATGTATCAGGCGTATGTATTACCGAGGCGACCTTCATGTCAGACTAATTCTAACTGCTATAATCAGCACGAAGAGCAAAGGCGTTACTACCTTCCTGTCAATGTGGCTCTTGGTTGTCTATGCTGGTAGGTCCGGGGACACGTTTGCACGCAGAATTTAAGCTGACTGCCAAGCTATAGCCTCAATCCCGTCTCAATGGGTGACGTGCGGCAGAGTAGCATGGGCTTTAGCTCGCGATGTAAGCGTCTGTATGACATGCCGATGGCTCCAGCCTGACCAGACCAGATCAATTCCCCGTCGGCAAGATACTTCGCTAAAGTAGACGATAAGCTAAAGTTTCCTGTTCGCACCACAGTTGCTAGCTTCGGCTTTGTCGCTATCTATAGTCTGTTATACTTGGTTTCCTCGGGCGCTTTCAACACAATCACCAATAGTGCGATTCTCTTCCTCCACATAACTTACGTGGTGCCTCAGGGCATACTTTTGATAAAAGGCAGAGCGGGCGCACTACCACTTCGGTACTTGAAGCTTGGCTGCCTCGGCTATCTCTGCAATGCCTTTGTCATTTTGTGGATTGTTATACTTGGAGTGTTTGTCTGCCTGCCTCTTGGGTTACCGGTAGAAGCCGAGTCGATGAATTATACGGCTCCCGTGCTAATTGGTCTATTTGGCCTTGTGATCCTGTTGTGGTACGGACTAGGAAGGGTAGCATTCCAGGGACCCCAGATTGACAGGGACATGATGCAGGAGGTAAATTCTGGTCTCAAGTGAATGGACTTGGCCGAGCTGTTGGCTCGCAACGGACGCGGCAGTCGGTCAGTCATTGCTTCCAGACTTGAAGACTTGTGAAACCTCAACGAGGCGAGACTGCAGTGAGAACCTTGCTCAATTTGGCTGCGCCACTTGACACGTGGATGAAAAGGACAGACTCCGCGAATGAAATTCGATTCTCCATAGATTGTGAGCGGAATACCGGGTATTGCTCCGAGTCTGTACAACAGTGCTAAGAGACTCCGACTGACAAAGTGTCTCCTGAGTACAGACCCTGTCATTCTAAGACATTGAGCGGGTGAAATGTAACTCTGGCATTCACTTTAGGGAGGTGGCATTGGTGTTGCCTGCGTCAGAGTGGCATCAACCGCTCGGCTGCTATAAAGATCAGTCGGGAAGCTTCAGCCCCCTTCCCCTCCTATTTATTCTTCTGTGCAACCGCATTTCATCCAGCATCTCAATCCTTTCTCCTTTCCCCTGCAGGATATAATTGCTTCATTGGAAATTTTGCTACGTCTCACAATCTTCCCGTCAACAAGTAAGCCGCATCCTTCTGATGACTCTCCAAATCCTCCCATGTGCTCACGCCTTTCTAGCTAAGCATCGTTCCCAGTCATGGATGCCCACCTTGATCTCACCCTCCCTTCGACCTGCCCAGAACTTCAGCAAGGCAGCGATGCCAACTGGGATGATGCTTCCTTTGCTCTCTATTCCATGATCGAATTGTCTTCCGAAGAGCTGGATACGCTGGTCACCGCTATGAACCGGGACTGGAAGCGGGAGATGACCGACGAAGCGACGCCTCTTGTTCGCACCCCTACCATGTACGACTTCAGTGGGAAAAGCCTCCGAGACGTCGTCCAGGCTCACGTTGAACTGGACAAGGAATTTACTCCGCGTGATGATGGCGGTGCCGAAGGCGACATTCATTGGTACCCCACAGCTTTTGTTGTTGTCACCACTCGCGAGTGGGAAGAGAAAGGACTCTTGTTGGTGTACGTGGATGTCGAGGAGAAAGAATGCCCCATGGACAAATTCTTCTTTCACATCGACAACGCTAATATCCTGTTGTCAAGCTTGAAACTCGGTGATGAGAGCCCCTCTTCCAGCAAGTTCAACTGGGAACTGGGGCAAGGAGTGATAGCTAGCATGGATGAATAGCTTAAATGTTGTGCTACAAACTTACTCTCTTTTTTCCATCTATATTCGGCTCGTACAATAATGAAGCGTGTGATGTAATATGGTTTGCTATTGGCTTAACTTACTATCCTCCATATCATTATCAACCTCACACGACCGCTCCATGAACCCACCTTTTCAGGCCCTTGTGAGACCGAGAGGCTATGCTCACTGTAAGAGCCCCATTTCGGACCATTTCCCCTCTTTTCATCTCATGTCTTCATCTATACTCTCGAGATTGTCACGGCAGCTACACAAACCCTTGTTTAGATCTCGGCGCAGTTGAATGTTCAGCAGATCATTTTAAATTAACATTGTGCCACAGGCCTCTTGGACCGACTACAATGTCTCAGTCAGAATGGCCACTGTACAACCAAAGCCCTCGGTCCTTGAAGCTTATCATACACACAGTACAACTACCATAACCACCCTTCCGATCATTGGCAGTATAAAGCCTCCAATATGAAGCCTACCAACCCTCCAATCTTTATACACAAGCCATTGAGCATCATCCCCGGGCACCATGAAGCAACTCTTCCTCTTCCTTGGCTTTCTAGCCTTCTTTACCCTCTCCTCGGCAGTAAGTGTAGCCTTCAACTGCGACAACTCCCATGTCGGCGGTAGACCATCCTCTCGTTTCTATTCACTGCCTTCCAGTACATCATATACTAACTCCGACTAACTAGACGTATGCCAAAACATGTGCTTCGGTACCCCGTAAACCCCCCTCTTACCCCCAACATACCTTCACCAACATCAATCCCCCCTAACCACACCAGGCACCAAATGCAAACGCCTCGGCACAACCCTAACCTGGGACAAACCCAGCCGACAAGTCTCCGATCGCCGCAGTCGCGAAGCCGGCTGTGGTAGTTCCAACCGCTGCAGCAAATCCCCCTACGGCAGAGGTTACCAATGCGACGAGTACCCGTTTCGATCTGTGCGGGAGTCCGACAGAGGCGGGCAAGTAAATCGCTGCGTTCTAGCGCGATACAATAATGGCACGTTCGGACTCATCCTATCTCACCCGCCAATGGTCCCTTAAGTATCTAGTTATCCTAAGCTAACGAGTAAATGGTATCGGCACGCAGCCCAAGGCCAAGTCCTCCGCAACTTCTACAACTCGCGCGGACAGTTCCAAGGGAAAGGATGTAATGGGACCGCACCGTGTCGGTTTAGTGTTTCTTTTACGAATGCCAGTCGGTTGCAGTATTGTAAGAGTAGGCCGAATTGCACGAATGATGGGAATGAGTATACGAAGAGGGGGCCTGCGAGGAGGGATGTTAAGGCTGAGGGTGGAAGTGAGTTTTTTAGGTTGGAGAGTGGAATGGTGGTGTTTGCGCCGGGTGGGTTGGAATTTGGGGAGGTGGTTTATCGGACTGGGGTTGGGAATTGGACGGTGTTTGAGGATGGGGGTGGGGAAGGTAGGGATGAGGATGGGGACGCGTTGGAGGATGATGATACTATTCGGGTGGAGAAGGATAGGGTTGTTGGGGTAGTTGCTGGGTGGGAGGGATGAGGAGGTAGTTACTTACTATGGGTTGGTTGATTGACCAGTGGAAGTAGTATATTGATGTCTGAGTGGAGGTTATATATTTGTGGAAGGAAAGGTAAACAAACTTCGATGGTACTGAGTCTGGTCGGCAAGAAAGATTGCGACATATTCAAGAGCACTATCTTTCGTCTTGATATGGCTTATGAGGAGAAACTAAGAATCATGTTAACTGCAAGTAATTCTATATAATATTGGTGTCGAAAAAAAAAGGAATAAAAAGGTGTAATTATCATGACAAAAGTTGGGGTAAGGATAGACTTGGAATATATTTTGAAATAGTGGGCCCGTTCTTCAACAAATGGGGCTGTGGTTTAGTGGTATAATATTCCCTTAGCATGGGAGAGGTCCGGGGTTCGATTCCCCGCAGCTCCAATTTTTGTGTTTTTCATTTTTTCCTTCCGCCAGAACATATGAGACTACTGATTGCAGATGAATGGAGAGCTTTGTATTTGGTCTATCGAAAAATCCATAATATTAACCATGATTCATGATGCTGGAAGATGCGACAGTCATAACACTGTCACCCATACTTTGTAGCCCATATCCCTCTCCCTATCATTCTGATGAACTTACTTCTTTGCTAACACTAATAGCATCTGGCTGCCTGGCACGGGACCTAATTAGGGCAGAAATAAGTTTCTTAAGCAATCATCGGTGCGTAAGTCTCCTACACAGTTGGAAAAACGAAGCAAAGCAAAAAGGGAAGTGACGACTATGATATGTAATTCATATGGAATGATCTCCCTCCCTGAGAAAGCACCGCCACATATGCTAACCTAGGATGCAGAAAGAGAGTCTTTCAGGCAGGGGTGATTGAAACTCTTTTGACCACTTCCGCCTAATGTCATTTTGCATCAGCCTTATACAGAACAATTCATCTACTGAATCTATCGGATACAGAGGTTCTTGCCGCTGCTGTCCTGAACCATGTTTATCTACTGTTCCAAGCTACTCACTCTCTGTCAATTGATTGGGCCGGATGTCTTCAATCCAAGTGCTGAGGGGTGCTGCGCCGCAGCAATACTACTTTCCCTCCCTTTTAACTCTAGTAATCTCTTCAACATGGGAGTGTTTTTCTACATCGACACACATTGACTCACATGTATTAAACCCTTAGCTATCGAGATTTCCACGTTCCGACTCGCTTGTGTGACCATCACAGTTTACTGCAGCTGAATCCTCCCGACATTATACTTGCTTCATAACTGAACTCTTGGCTAGATGTCCTCCAATTTCGTGAATGCGACAGGGATAGAATGTTTCATACAGCAGCGCTATCCCGGCACCTCTCGCGATGAAGCCTATGTCAGACTCTTCGACGACCTGAAGCCTCTTATAAATCCTGCTGCGGTAGGATGGCACAACTTCATACAAGCACTTGCAATTCTCCTCAACAAGCCAGTTTATAGTCTCGCTAAATCTGCAGGTCGTACAGCCCAGCGCATCCTTGGAGCCGTTTCTCAGAGCCCTTCGGAGACGTCCCAGCCCGTCAAGGATAATCCAAATGACATCTCGGATCAGACGATGATACAGATACTTCGCATTCTCGCAGAGGCTGCCGGAGATCTTCCAGAAGTGGTATCAAGTACCGGTTCCGATGGCAGTGAAGAGTACGAGATTCAACACAGCTCCCATGGGTACGTAGCTGGAATCCACCAGGATAATCAAAGCCAACAGGTCATTAACAAAACAATAAACAGCTTCTAGAGGCGGACCCCGAGTGTTCAGAGTCTTCAATAACTCCTTCAACGCTGGGCGTGAATTTACCGCCGTTTTTGCTACCTGTGCTCTGTCGACTACGGCCCTTACTATACAGACAAAAGCGAAGGAGTTACGGGCCATCGGATTAAACCCCAAGGACATTCCTGATGAGACAAGCTATCAGATGACACCAATGGTCCAGGGCTGGAAGCTCCACGGCTTCGGATATTTCATCTACAAGTTTGTCGACCATGAAACTGTGGCTACCGACGGAGAAAAGTCCGCTGGACGTCATGCCTTTTACGTCTTCAATCCGACAACCAGTGCCAACGAAGAGTTTAGGACACAGGTCCAAAAGAGGCCCTTACTAGCCTCATTTGGCGGGATGTGCTCCGATCTCGAGGCCGTTTTTCTCCTTATGTGGCAAAATCGTCAGTCGCTTCGAAAGACAGACCCGGAAAATGCAGATAACGTGATATTCCACTTGCTGGTTCCGGCAAAGAGGACTTTCGCTATTGCAGAGAGAATGGCTATCGATGGTGGAGTGGGGAAGCTGATTATCAAAGGACACACGGACGAAGGTGCCTGCTATGCGTGGTTCAATTTTGTATCTTTGCCACGGCAAGTGGTACTACATGATGTCGGAAACCTTAACAGAGACTCTGCCGATCTCGACAGATCATGGAAAGGTGAGAAGAGTGGTGCACTTGCATTCTTCGGCTGCGGGCTTATGACAATTATCACCGGGTATTTTATCCCTCCGGCAGCGCCATACTTTGCTTGGCTGTGTTTTGCATCGTTGGCAGTGGCATTGAAGTATGGCGTATTGGATAATCTGCGACGGAGTTACCGGTCTCCTCCTCGTATTCTCGGTCCTCCGTCAGAGGTTCGTCGAGAATGAAAGAAAAATTGATATGTAGTGACTAAAATGAGATCTGATAGTTGTTTGGTTCCCATTCGAAGAAATTGATCGTTCTGGAAAAATTGTTCTGATAGTCATCGTAGAGGTAGCCGAGGGGACTACACAGAATACTAAAGTATACTTGAGTGGACCCACGATTACTATCAAGGTACTCTGTAGATAAGTATTTCTACAGGTTAGATCCCCAACCTGCTTGCTTCATAGACACCTCCCCCTCCTCAGCATCAGCATCCGATCCATCCGACCTGGTCCCACCGGATCACCAGAGGGCTCGAGTCAAAAACAAGCTTCAGCAGCCGTTAGTCCGGCAGACGAGTGGGTCAATCAGCCACCCACACCATTGTCATGCTGTCGGTTCTCTAGAAAAATCAGGGACGAGTTACATACACTCCACATGGACAATGTTGATAAGACGGAAATAATTCGGTGATCGGCATGTCTTAGTATCAAGTCATTAAGTTACAAGATAAGTTGTCTACGCGGCTTGCGCGCTGGTGGAGCACCCGGTATACGTCATATTCGACACATTTGAATAGTACCGGCATATTGACATAATCCCTGGCAGTACTATCTGGACTACATAAATACTACCGACGTGGTAGTACTAGAACATCGATTCAGGTGGTTAGTTCACCGATTATATCTCCATCATCTGCTCCTAAACAATGACTGTTCCTGTTGAAGATAGCTTTGATTTTGTCGTCGTCGGCGGTATGTTTCTATCTTTATCCCGCCTGTATGATCTACCATCTGACAGAAAGCAGGCGGCACAGCTGGAAATGTTGTGGCCGGTCGGCTGGCCGAGAACCCCGACGTGAGAGTGCTGGTCATTGAAGCAGGCGTTAGGTATGTATGCCCTCTCGACAACCAATCATCAATCACTGTGCCAATCTGACCATAACTAGCAACACGAGCGAGATCTCAGAAATAACCACACCTGCATCTGCTTTCGGCCTACGCGACAGCCAATATGACTGGGCATACAAGTCCACCATGATCAATCAACCCTACTATGAACGGGTAGAGAAGCCCAACACTCGGGGCAAGGTGCTCGGTGGTAGTAGCTCCTTGAACTACTATACCTGGATCCGAGGTAGTAAGGGGACGTTCGATGCATGGGCTGAATATGGAGGTCCTTCTTGGAGTTGGGATGGGTGTGAGGAGTATTTCAATAAGGTAAGTGAAGAATGAACAAGGAATGGAGGGATCATACTGATTATGTGCTGGACTAGCCCGCTACCTACCACGACGACGACAACCTCTACCCCTCAGAGCTATCAAAAATCGGCCGCAACGGTCCCCTGCATGTATCTCATGCAGACCTCGTCCCGGAACTACACACCTTCCGCGACGCCCTGACCGAAGCATGGACCAGCAAAGGCCAGAAGACATGCGAGGACATCTACTCCGGCAAGATGGAGGGTCTGACGCACTGTGTCAACAGTATCTACGGTGGGATGCGGTCGACCAGTGCATCCTATCTGGCTGATAAGCCAAACGTGACTATCCTGAGCTCTGCGATCGGGAAGAAGATCAACTTCGATGACAATCTCAAAGCAACAAGTGTCACTGTCAGTGGCGTCGATCGGACTGAAATGACCTTCAAAGCCAAGTATGAGATTATTGTCGCATGCGGCGTTTTCGAATCGCCGAAGCTGCTGATGCTCTCGGGAATTGGTCCGAAAGAAGAGCTAGCTCGTCATGGTATTGACTCGGTCGTGCAGTCGGAACATGTCGGCCAGAACCTGCATGATCATCCTATCCTTGCTCACGTTTTTCGTCTGAAAGATGGGACTGGGCTCGATAGTCATCTTCTCCGCGCTGGTCCTGCGCAGAGCGCTGCTTTGCAGAAGTACCGCACTAGCAAGAAGGGCCCATTTAGTAGTGGATTGTTGGAAATGGTAGGTCTGCCGCGCATTGATGACCGTTTGGAGCGATACAAGGAGTATCGCGAGGCGAAGGCGCAGAATGGTGGTAAGGATCCATTTGGGCCGGAGGGACAGCCGCATTTTGAGATTGATTTCGTGGTAAGTCGCCCTCCTTCCAGTTTAATTAACAGGAAAATATTGATGGATTGTAGCCAATGTTCTCCGACGCTTTTCAATGGCACTTCCCCGTTCCTCCCGAAGGCGACTGGCTGACAGTCATCGTCGATCTTCTCCGCCCGCTGTCCAGAAACGGGGAAGTGAAGCTCAACTCAGCCAATCCACACCAACAGCCATACATCAATCTGAACTTCTTTTCTAATGAACTTGACATCCTAGCCCTGCGGGAAGGTGTTCGCTTCGTGGACGATATCCTCATGACCGGAGACGGAATGAAAGAGATCCTGGGGGAAGACTACCCGTGGCCCATGCCCCGACATTCAGATGAAGCGATGAACAAAATGATCTTGGAGCGGTCGCAGACGGGATACCGTAAGCCAATACTCTGCCACTCAGCTTGGACGTGCACAGCAACTAACTAATGTTCACGTCATAGACCCCTGCGGCACGGCCCGACTGTCCAAGGACATTGCACACGGCGTGGTGGACCCGGAGCTGCGCGTCCACGGCGTGCAGAATCTTCGCGTCGTGGATGCGTCCATTATCCCTCTGATCCCTGACTGTCGAATTCAGAATGCTGTGTATATGATCGGAGAGAAGGTGAGTCACTACTTCAATCAATCCAGAAATTCATTTTGTTGAAGAATGCATGCTGAAACCACGCTAGGGCGCGGACATGATCAAGGCAGCTTATCCGGCGCTTTATCGAAGCTGATGGAAACCGATAGGAGTCAGCACTGCTGAGCTTAACGTGAGCCATTGGCCTGGATGAATTACTTCGAATATCATATGAGTTATATCTGACACAAATACAGTAGTGACTCATGTAGAATAATACTATCTATTCTAATCATTCCCCATAAAAGCGGAAATAAGATCGTCATGGCACTCAAGTCAGCATTAATCAGCCAGACTTGCTAGTAAGCTTATTTGTCAGCTACTTCTTCCATCGTTCTCCATATATACCTACCAGATTCCCAGTACTATTCTACTTTTATTCCTATCCAATCCAATCCAATCCAACCTAAATAACCACCCCTCACTAGTACAACCAAAATCACACCCCCAACCATGGATCCCACCACCACCCCCGAACCCATCACCGGCAGCTGCCTCTGCGGCGGCATTCAATACGAAGTAACCGGCGAACCCATGAAACGAGTAATGTGCCACTGCGAAAACTGCCGGAAGTTCACAGGCTCCAGCTTCATGGCCAACAGCTTTATGAAAGAATCTGTTAGTCCTATCCCCTCCTTCCTCTCTTTAACACATCTCCATTTTTTTTTTTTCTTTCTAAGCTAATGATGTATCAGCAACTAACCATCAAATCCGGCGAATCACTCATCCAAAGCTTCAAAGACACGAAAGTGGATTCCGGAAGTACTTTGGAACGACGCTTCTGTCGCGTCTGTGGATCCCCCGTGTATGTGACGAGTAGTCGGGCCGAGGGGTTTGTGGTTGTTCCGTCCGGCACGATGGATGGGGAGGCGGGCAGGAAGTGGAGGCCTGAGGTGGAATTTTGGTGTAAGGCTAGGAGGGAGTATTTGCCTGTGGTGGAGGGGACGCAGATGTTGGAGACGCATTAGTGGTTTTCACTTTTTTGATTTCTCCCTTGGGAGTTGGGGTTGGGGTTGGGGCTGGATGTAGGTAGGGGGAGGGGGTGGAGGGCGTTGTGAGTGAGAGATGATATCCTTGGTTTTTTCATTTTGTTTTTGGGAGGGTGGGGTGTGTATAGATGGTTAGTATACTTGAGATTGATGTTGGCATATCTTGGAAATATGGCTTCGGAAATACCAATAGAGAGACAATCATGTCACTGTCATATAGAAGACGGGGAGCGGATTAAGCTTGATTGCTGCGACATTGACGACTGGTCAATGTGGTCAGAGTGATGTTTTATCTGTTTTCCTAGGCATTAATGCACCATTCTTCTACGAAGTATGTGTAAGAGTAAAAGCGATGCTGAGAAGAAAGTTCATATATGCTATTAAATTAAGTATCGCTAACAGACGGACTCGATAGGCCCGACAGGATAAATATCACATCATAGTACAGCCCCCTCCATTCAGACTAGCCCAGAATCCATAGGTCCAACTATTTACTGCTCCAGGGTAGAGCATCCGAGAGCCACAAGACCGTTCTAAACTGTCGTTAGCCTGACATCATGCCTCCGTAGGAGAGAACTTACCAAGAGATTGATCTCAGTGCAGCACTGAGGTTCCGATGTGCAGCTGTCGTCGTAGTCCTTGCCTGTTTTCTTATAAGTAAACTGTTATCCAGTTTTGAGGAAGTATAATATCTGGTAACGTACAAAGAAGACCGATGGAGCCAACAATGTTGGAAGCATCGATACCCAGGTCCAAGAGGATAGGGTCAACAAGAGGGTCAAGAGGGGTGGTCAGGGAGCCACAGCACAGAATGGGAGGAACGCATTGCGCCTCCGTGACGGTGCTGATGGTGCCATCAGAGGTGCCCCGCTGAGCGGCCACCTCCTTCACCTGAGACTCAAGAGACGCGGTGCTGTCCTGGGCGGCGGGCACGGCCACGGCGGTGGTGGCGATGGCCAGGATGGAGAGAGCGGTAGTGAACTGCATTTTGATGATGGTGATGGACTTGCAAAGATGCAGGAGAATGAGCGTTGCTGGTATTGTAGAAGAAAGTCTTTGTAATCTAGTGTTCAGCTTTTATCTGATGTTGGAGGAATTGTAGAGGAAGTCAAGCGTCCTTTATAGGTCTGAGCAGAGGTCAATTACTAAGGATCAAATTCAAATCATGGCATTGAGCTGAACGTCAAAGTTGTGTAGTTCCATGGAAATTCCCAATCAGATGCCTGATGGTTATCTCGAGTCATTCGTTCAGTCACACTCGGTCGAGAGGACCGATGGACATTGCCTCAAAAGCCAGTCGCATCGGGATAGATCGATGCTGGGCAAACTAAGAATTGTGACCGGTTTCCGGAAGCTGGAGTATGGAAGGGTAAGCCGAAGGATCTCCGGAGAAAGGACGCCCAGTCATAGTCTGTGGCACCTTGGTCCCCTGCAGGTACCGCTGCAAGCGAGGAACCCTGTGGAGAATCGATCGATCATTCCCAGTTCTGGGGAAGACCGTACCTGCATAGGAGAGAGTTAGAATCCAATAGTTCGGAATCTGGGGCCAGCTGAAAAGCGCCTGCCTGTCAAGGAACGCCGTCTTATCAGTTGAACCAAAGTAGCCCTCATCTGGTGGCGAATCAGACACAACCCTGGCCATCCAAGGACAAGATGCATGCGCCATAGCCGGACAGAAATCGAGAACAAGCTATAGAAGAACTAGTTGCTTCTCGGAGGTTTAGAAGAGCGTTTCACTGCATCCAGGTCGCATATCCCCAGGTGCTAGTGAAGTTCGTAGCTACTATCGCAAGAGAGGGCAGTCTTAGCTAGTCTTGATGATACCCTTTCAGCAAACCGAGGATCTATCATGGACAGGGACAGGACCCATGTCAAGCCTCAATCCTTGATCGAACACCCCGATCTCAGCTGGATCTCAAAAACATCACTCTCAGCCTTGCAGTTGGGGGCACTGATAGACGATCCTTTACGTAAATCCACATTGGGTATAGAGCCAAGCGCTCAGATAGCAGATCCTATTGACATGTTCACCGGATGAAATAGAGTTCGCATGGGATCGGAGATTTAGCCGGACTGAGGGATGAGGGGAAGCCAATAGTTAGTTGAGCAATTAGTAAATCCATTGTCGATCTATCAAGTATGTTGTCATGCATTTAATTACATGAGAGATAAGCGGGCATAACTTGAATTTGGATGATGATAAGAGAAAAAGCAATTGCACTGGGAAACCGTGGATACCGTGCATAAAAGTAATACAAACAACCCCTTACTCAGCGCGCATGTGATTGACGCATAGCTGTTATGCAGTCACCTGACTGTTATCGCATCTGTGGCGGTGCATGCGGCTCATGCCAAGACTTGTTGCGCCACAGACTCGCGACACAAAAAGTGCAAAGTCGAAAGTGAAGCCCAAGTCGGTCAATATCCGCCGTCTGCGATCCTCCCCTCCCATCTTCCCCAGACTCTCCCCGCTGGGTTTTTTTCTCTTTCCTCTATAATTTCTATTATCTGAGGGCCATCCCTAAGTCAGACATCATGGCTCCCATCTCTATCGCAGACATCGTCGCCGCTCTGCCGGCCGAAGACACCTGGGGCCCCGCTACCGCCAGCGACAACATGCTGCAGGGCGTCCCCTACGCTCCCTTCTCCAAGGGTGACAAGCTGGGCCGTATGGCTGACTGGACTGCCGAGTCCAAGGACCCTAACCGTGCCGGTCGCCAGGCCTACAACCGCAACTACAGAGGTATACCATCATCCTAATATATCCAGCCAAGCCAAGACAAAGCAACTAACTCTGTTACCTCCAGACCAGCAAGTCTATGGTGCCGGTTCCTCCAGCCTCTTCGCCGTCCAGGTCGCCGAAGACGAATCCTCCTTCTCCGTTGTCGACAACACCCGCAGCTCCGCTAAGCGTACCTTCGGTCGTGGCGGTGGTACCGTCTTCCGTGGCCGCGCCCAGCGCGGTGGTGCTCAGCGCGGTGGTCGCGCCGGCTTCCAGCGTGTGGGTGCTGGCCGTGGCCAGGGTGGTGACCGCTACTACGACAACCGCTCGGGCGGCCGTGGCAACCGTGGCCGTCGCTTCGGCTGGAAGGACTACGACAAGCCCCAGCGCACCCGTGAGCCCTCGGTCAACGTCCGCCCCGACTGGAACATGCTGGAGGAGGTTGACTTCAGCCGTCTGTCCAAGCTGAACCTCGAGGCCCCCGAGGGTGAGGACGTCGACTCGTACGGTTTCCTCTACCACTACGACCGGTCCTACGACAAGGCCCCTGTCAAGAACGCCGAGCGCCGTCTCCAGTCCCTCGACCGTGCCGCCTACAACGTCACCACCACCCAGGATCCCGTCATCCAGGAATTGGCCGAGAAGAACGAGGCCACCATCTTCGCCACCTCGGACATTCTCTCCATGCTCATGTGCGCCCCCCGCAGTGTCTACTCCTGGGACATTGTCATCGTCCACCAGGGCAACAAGATCTACTTCGACAAGCGCGAAGGCGCCTCCCTGGACCTGGTCACCGTCAACGAGAACGCCGCCGACGCTCCCCTTGAGCTGGCCGACTCCGCCAACAAGCAGGATGCCATCAACACCCCCAGCGCCCTGGCCATGGAGGCCACCTTCATCAACCACAACTTCGCCCTGCAGACCGTCGTCGAGTCTGAGGACAGCAAGGTCTCTCTGGCCCACCCCAACCCCTTCTACAACGCCGCCGAGGAGACCGAGCCCCTCGCCTCCAAGGCCTACAAGTACCGTCGCTTCGACCTCTCCCTGGAGCGCGACGACGAGCCCGTCAACATGATCGTCCGTACCGAGGTCGACGCCATCATGAAGAACCCCGTCAACGGCGAGGACCAGCAGCTGCTCGTCAAGGCCCTCAACGAGTTCGACAGCAAGGCCCAGGGCTCCGGTGGCGCTCTCGACTGGCGCAGCAAGCTCTGGTCTCAGCGTGGTGCCGTTGTTGCCACTGAGATGAAGAACAACAGCGTCAAGCTCGCTCGCTGGACCACCCAGGCCATCCTCGCCAAGGCTGACGGCATGAAGCTGGGTTTCGTCTCCCGTGCTAACCCCCGCTCTGCCGCTGGTCACGTCGTTCTCGGTGTTGTCGGCTACAAGCCCCGTGATCTGGCTGCCCAGATGAACCTGAACCTCGGCAACGGTTGGGGTATCGTCCGTACTATTGTGGACCGTATCCGTGCCCTCGATGCCGATGAGGATGAGGACAAGGTCACCAAGTACGTCCTTATCAAGGACCCCAACCGTCCTGTGCTGCGTCTGTACAGCGTCCCTGCTACCACCTTTGAGGAGGAAGAGGAGGTCGCTGGTGAGGAGCAGGAGGCTGCTGAGGAGGAGGCTGATGAGTAAACGGAAGCCACGATATGATGGTCTTATATTCTTCTATCTCATGTGCATATTGATTGTCCTTGCTTTCAAAAGTTAGTTACGAACGACGTCTCAACATAGAGTTTGTCCATTATGTTCTACAAATCATAATTCAATCGCACGACGCACGCAGTCCAGTAGATTTCTACATCTCTACCTACTTTGCAGGCTTATAAAGTAGACATCAAGTAGTAGATCCACACAAGCAAACTATAAGTAAACTACAAGTGGAATAACTACGCAACAATTCGAAATCTCGCCCCTATCCATCCCAAATACAGCCGTGTGTGGATGGTGTCAATAATGTGCAACTAAAACCAACGTAGATATAGTCATTCTAAAGCATTGAATACATCTACAATAATGTACAGCATACCATATCCACAACAATATTCTCGTATTCCAACAAATCCCCCAATCTAACCCTAACATCCATCCTCATCCACGGCAACTACTTTACAACCTCATCTCTCCCTCCACCCCTCATAATCACCCCCTCCCCACCAATTATATTCACAAATTCCTCCCAAAGAACCCCTCAATCCTCTCCCACGGAATCAACTCCACACGATCATACAAATCAACATGCCCAGCCCCAGGCACCCACAACAACTCCTTCGGCTCACTAGCCCCCCTATACGCATTCTCACTAAACTCTCTAGAATGAGCCCGATCACCCGAAATAAACAGCACAGGTCTCGGCGCAATGACATCCAAATCCTCGAGGGGATAAAAGTTCATGAACTTCAGATTACTTGTCACCGTCGGATGCGTCGTCAACTCCGGGGTCGAACCCAGCGGCGTAACCTCGCCACGCACCGTGCGGTAGAAGTCATAGAACTCGCGATCCACGGCACTAGCATTAGCCGTGAGGGTGTTTGGCGTACCGCTGGTATATCCAATGGGATTGGTAGCTCCGCCAGGATGCTCGTACTCAGGCCAGCGCTGCAGCGCAGCGGAGGCAATCACTTCCTGACGCTGGGTGAGGTTCTGCGAGTGGTGCAGACCCTGGCGGTTGACGGTGCCCATGTCGTACATGCTGGCGGTGACGATGGCTTTGATGCGCGGGTCGATTTTGGCCGCGCTGAGAGCGAAGCCTCCGCTGGCGCAGATGCCGATGACGCCGATGCGGTTGCGGTTGATGGTTATGGGGTGGGGGATGGAGGGGATGGTGGTGATGGTGGTGGTGTTGCTGCCGAGGTAGTCGACTGCGGCGCTGAAGGCTTCGGTGTAGAGGTCGGGTGAGACGGCGTTGCGGGGGGTGCCGGTGCTGCTGCCCCAGAAGGGGAGGTCGATGGACAGGGTGATGTAGCCGCGTTCGGCCATTTTGGTGGCGTATAGGTTGGCGGCTTGCTCTTTTACGGCGCCCATGGGGTGGCCGACGATGATGGCGGGGGATGGGGTGGAGGTGGTGAGGTTGTTGGGGATGAAGAGGTTGCCGGCGATGAGGGTTTGGTATTGGGTTGGGAAGGTCACTGGTTGGAGGGTTACCAGGTTACTTCGGTAGAAGTTGTCGGCGCCGTAGGAGAGGTTTTGCGCGGTGGTGCATATTGTATGCAGAATTGGGGCGAGGAGGAGTGTTGGGAGTTTCATGGTGATGCGGAAGCTGAGAGTGGCTTTGAGGGTTAGGTTTGGTAGTTGGATGGTTGTGTTGATGATTTGTGGTTCTTGAAGTAGGTGAGTACATAGCTTTTATAGCCATTGTATCTGCAATATCGTGATGGCTCGTTGCGTGATTGTGATATTCGTCAGGAGCATAGTCATGTCTGGATGGAGTTGAGAAGTAGATCACTTCTGGGCCTCGTCATGCTAATGCGACTTGCTTACTGTGGGGCGTAAGCTACCCACTGCAACGGTTTGATATGGTTGGTTATTGTCTGGATGTCTTTAGACTGTATTCATGTCTGATCCATGCTACATCGATCCGTGGACATCACTGCTCCCCCACTTCGCAAGCACATAAAGGCATCCCCCGATTGTCCTTCTCTTCCGTCTTCCAAGACAGACAACGGACATCTATCCTCTTTCATCATGCCGCCCTACGTATACACTGGCCCAGTCGACTGTTCCCAGGACGCAGATTGCAGCTCCTTGGCGGGCAAAACCGCCATCGTCACAGGCGGTGCCAACGGCCTTGGTGAAGCCTATGTCCGCGCTCTCGTCGCAGCCGGGTATGTCTCTCGCCTCTTCATTTCTTCACAGCTAATACAGGCTCAATCACAGCGTCTACGTCTGTATCGGTGACATCGACACACCGAAAGGCCAGAAACTTGAAGCCGAGCTACCAGGGTAAGTTCTTCCCAATGCTGCCATCATCCCCTACGCTGACACAACCCTAAGCACCAAGTTCATCCCCTGCTCAACCGGCACCTGGACCGACCAAGTCCGTCTCTTCGAAGCAGCAGTCGCCTTATCCCCAACCAACCGGATCCACTACGTGGTTGCAAACGCCGGCATCCACCGCGTAGATGAAATCTTCCAGCCAGGACCGGAATCCCTACCCGAACCAGACCTAAGCATCATCGACATCAACATCAAAGGTCCTCTCTACACAGCCAAACTAGCCATGCTTCACTTCATCCGCCAGAACGGAACCACACCTACCCCAGAGCAAGAAGATACCTGCCTGATCCTCATCGGCTCTGGCGCAGCGTTCCTCGATGTGCCACGCTCGCCGCAGTACTGTGCCAGTAAGTGGGCGATGCGGGGAATCATGCATTCCCTGCGTCGGACGGCCTATTACTACGGGTCCCGAGTCAATGTGATTAGCCCGTGGTATGTGCATACTGGGATTTTGTCCGAGGAGGCATTTGCACACTGTAAGCGGGCAGGAGTGGAGTTTGCCACAGCGGAGGATGCAGGGCGCTGCCTGCTGAGGATCCTGGCAGATGGGAGGGTTAATGGGCATTCGTTCTTTGTGACAGCTCGGAAGTGGGCGGAGAAGGGGTTTATGGATTTGGACTTGGAGGATTTCGGGGATGATGCGTTGCTGGGTGAGGTGCAGGAAATGCAGATTTGCAGTGCCCCGGTGGAGGCAGGGTTGTTTGTGTAGTTCGGTAAATAGTCGGCAGTTATTGAACATGTTATGTTTGGCATTTATCATTCACAATAATCGTATGAGACCATAATTGAGGCCGAGGCCGGAGATGGCATCAACAAGGGTTGGTGTCCTTCCATGGTTAAGGGTCTAGCTCCATAACATTCCGGATGGTGATTGATGGATTGGTGAAGAGCGGGTCTGGCTTGGCGTAAGCAAGATGCATTAGTGCCGGATGGCAGCCAAGTTTATCTTCTTCCGCTGTCTGTGTTTGCGTCTCTCACAACTTCTTCATCCAGGGTCTGTCTTCTAGAATGACTTGGAATTTCAGGCAACATCATTTTGTCAGGCTAGCACTGCCCATGCGATGTCCTAATTGATCTTGGCACGCTTGGCTGAATACACATCCACGCAACACATTCGTTCTTCTCTCTCTCAACTATGCTGTCGACATCATCACGATCTGCATCCGGGTGTTGGTTCGAGTCGGATGATTACAAATGTCCCTTATGTGGCAGTGCATCATGGCTCTGATGAACACTGCTTATGGCGGTGGAGTTCTGGCTTACTGGACTGACCTCAGTTCGGATCGTGCGTCGGAGATAGCAGCTCAGCCTGCCATCTATCTATTGCTTCAGAAAGGTATTCTGTTGCCTAGATATGATGTGTATAGCCCATTACGATGTTTATGTCTGTGTTTACTGGTAGGGTTCCTTATTATGGAGTATATATACAGATCATGAAAGAAGCAACGCATTATGGGCGGCTCAGTATATTTGATCTGCATCGAAGTACAAAGCTGCCATGAGGATCTTCTGTGATGTTCTTACGGTGGTGTGCACATTCAGTTTAATTCGAAATGTTCTAGGTATGACATGTACCTAATCCTGGTGGTGAGAATCATCCTTACATTACTAGGCCATTCGGTTCGAAACTCAGCCACAGAATATGCAGCCCGACTCGAGCAGGTCGTGATTCACCCCCAATCTCGGACTACCTCGGTCAAGGGCCAACAGGACATCACTATAGGTGTTCCTGGACATGGTGGCCCGGTGCGGCTGCAGTTGGAGCCGAATCGGGACATTCTTGCCCCGGATACTTACGTCGAGTATCTGAATGGCACAGAACCCCAGTCACTCAATGGAGACAGGGAAAGAGTGTTTCGGGGTGACGTCCTGGTGAATTCGTCCAGCAATGCATGGCATCCGGCAGGACGAGCACGCATATATCTCATCCAGGATGGGACAAGCCCGCTGTTCGAGGGAGCCTTCACGCTGTTCGATCAACAATACCACATCAACCTAGTTACGCAGTCAAATTCCTCCTATCCGCACATGGAAATCAGCACATCAGGAGATGCTATAAGCACACTGTCTCAGAACACAGTATTCTCCCGCCAATCCACCCAAGACAACACATGCTCCCGGCCTCGGAGAGTCGCTCTGATTGGACTCGCCACAGATTGTTCCTACCGCGCCGCATTCTCATCCACAGATGAGCTCCACCGAGGACTAATCAGCATGGTGAACACCGCATCAGAGGTCTACGAGAGGACATGGAACATCTCGCTCGTCATCCGCAACATCACCATCAGCGACGAGTCATGTCCCGACACACCCCAGCGAGATACCCCATGGAATGTCGGCTGCTCCAGTGGGAATCTGGACTGGCGACTTCAGCAATTTGCCTCATGGCGACGCTGGCATTATGACCCCAATGCCTACTGGACTCTGATGACCAACTGTCCCACCGGGAACGTGGTGGGTGTGTCCATCGTGGGAGGGCTCTGCACGACTTACTCCGGGGCAAATGTAGTGGCGCGGACTTCCAATCAATGGCAGGTTTTTGCGTACGTCTCCTTCCTCAAATATTCCGTTCGCGTGATACTGAATTTTACGTCTAGCCACGAATCCGGCCATATGTTCGGCGCGACCCATGACTGCGACTCCCAAACCTGCTCCACTTCGAATGGGGATTGCTGCCCCCTGTCTTCGAGCTCTTGCGACGCCGACGGACAATATATCATGAACCCATCTTCCACCTCCTATCAGACGTCCTTTTCGCCCTGCACTGTCGGACAAGTCTGCTCCTTACTCCGCTCTGGCAGAGTAGAGGATGACTGTCTTGTGCACAGTAATGATACAGGACCTACGATCAGCGGGCCTAGTACCCCTGCTGGTGAGTGCGGTAATGGCATTGTCGAAGACGGCGAGGAGTGCGATTGCGGTGAGACCTGCGCGGACAATTCCAATTCCTGCTGCGTTAACTGCCGGTTGGTGAGTGGCTCGCAATGCGATGGAGGCAGCGGACGTTGTCAAGGTGGACGCTGCGAAGGTAGTGAGGATCGCCGTCCGTTAGGGGAATATGAACCGCTTGTTATTGGACTGGCTGCTGGTATAGGAGGGGGATTGCTTCTTGGGATAGTCATTGCTATTGTGTGGCGCTGTTGTTGTCGGAGGAGAAGAGTGGATAAACAGGATGAACCTCCTCTCTCTAGAGAAGTAAATAATCATATATACCGATAGTTACACAGCTATGTGTATGGAACAAAATAAGTAGACTCAGTAGTGATACTAAGTTTCCTACTTCGAACAAATAATCGCCACAATCACCATTTCCGATCCATGAAAATGAAAGCCCCACCGTCCCAGGCTTATCTATCAGAACAGCATTTCCTTACTTCAGCCTAGAAAATTAACGTTCAGACCGAAGAATCACCGTTCCCCGAGTGGGTCAACTACTGGTAGACTAGCCCTGCATAAATAAGCCTGCAGCTCCGCCGTCAGCAACTTGCATCCACCAATAACCCACATCATGTCTCGACACGAACCACCCCCAATGGATCTTACGGCTCCTGCATCATCAAACACTGTGACATTACGGCCGATGCCTCAACTAGAACATCTCTGGACTCCTGAAGATGATTGGACGGGGGTCAGCGATCGAGCCCACCGTCGTCGGTTACAGAACCGGTTGAATCAACGGGCTTATCGTATGTCTTCCTCCAACTCAAGTGTTGATTATCAATCTGATCATCTCAACCAGGGCAGAAACATAAAGCCACTACGGGGGATTCCTCCTCCTCATCCACCACTCAAACCCAAACCCTAATCACCCATCCCTCCAGCACAATCCACCACCCCACATCATCACCATCTCCATCCCCATCAAACAAAGCTGCTGCTGCTGCTGCTGCTGCAGCAGAAGAAGAAGATAATCACCACTGCCCCCTCGCCCCCACCAACATCAACATCCCCCACCTCCGCAAAACCCTCACCACCCTCGCCATCCAAAGCTACCTAACCAACAGCCCCCGTCTCGAACACCTGCTCAGTCTCTCGCGGCTCAACGTCCACCGAGCCATCAACGACAACATCCGCTTACTGGGCATGACACCCGCGCACCTGCAACCCGACGACGCCCTCTCAATCTTCAACACTCCATCCCCTTTTCCATCCCTCGACATCTCCACCCTCCCAGAAAGTCTCCGCCCCACGCCCCTCCAACGCCTCATCCCGCACCACCCCTGGCTAGACTTCTTCCCGTTCCCCGAGATGCGGGACAGACTGATTGTAGCGGCAGCGACGGGCTACCTGGATGAGGACGAGCTGTGTCGGGATCTCATGGCGTTTTGGGATACCCGCAACTCCGGGGCGACGTTGGTGGTGTGGGGCGTGCCGTGGGATCCGTGCAATTGGGAGGTCACCGAGGCGTTTTTGAGGAAGTGGAGGTGGGTGGTGGTGGGGTTGGGGGGGTTGAGGAGGAGTACGGATTATTGGAGGGGGAGGAGGGGGGAGGGGAAGTTGGTGTTTTAATAGCATAGCATGCTGGTTTGATGTGATGGATGAGTTGGTAGACTAGTCTTGTCTGGTATGTGGATTGGAACAAGAGTAGATGTTGGTTCATAGATTAAGGGGAGTTATGTGTGTTATGTGGAATAGAATTATAGTATACTGTTGTGGAAGTAGAAGGTATATACCTTGGAGATATATGACACATTATTAACTCCCTCCACATACCAATCACCAGTCACCACATTCCATACCTACATACCACTAGCCAACTTAACTACAGATAAGTTTAAAGTTATGGTTCACCAAATTCCAACAACTGTCATAAAACCAATCTCACACATACCATACTATATACAAATACCAGCATAAATTTCAAATTAATATATATTAAACCAATTACATAAATCCTACAAATTATCCAAACCATAGTAAAACCTCATCCATTCATTCTTGCTATACTACCCAAACCCACACCTCACCACGCCACCAAACCAAACCAAACAAGGTTAGATTACTCATTCCCGTCCACCAACCCACTAAATCCTAATCACTTAAACTACCTACTCTATCTAACCTACCACTCTAATCCACTTCAACAATCACTTCCCTTCTTCACACCCACTTCCAAAGAAAAGAAAATCAAAGACATGCCCACCCCCCTCCCCCACCGTCCCAAATCCCGCCCTACGGCATCATGCCTCCCGTGCCGAACCCGAAAAGTCAAAGTAAATCCAATCCCCTTCCCCTTTCCCATTACACCCAATCTAAGAAGAGTGACAGTGCAACCGCCTCCAACCATGCGAAACCTGCAGTGCGCGAAACATCGCACACGAATGTAAATATGCCGTGCCGGATGAGGACAGGCAGGCGATTGCGCAAGCGGAGATGATAGCTGAGTTGAGGGCGGAGGTGAATCGGCTACGGCAGCAGATTAGCGATTATGAATATGATCATGATCATATTCATAATCATGAGGAATCAATTATGGGTGAGGTTAATGTGTTGGAGGATGGGGGTTTACTGATAGAGAGATTGGAAAATGGGGAGGAGAGGTTGGGAGAAGAGGATGATGATGATGAGTTGGAGAGGGTGTATCGGATTTTGAGGGATGGGGAGTGGGAGAGGGTGAGGGAGGTGGTGGGGAGGATTAGGGGGGATACTAGTACTACTACTCCTACTTCTACTATTTCTGTGTGATTATTATGTTATGTTTCTTGGGGGATTATAGGATATGGTTTGTATGTATGTAGATGGTAGTAGTTATTCGTGGTTCTCGTGATTATTGATTAGTGGGTGGTATAGCTTAAATCAACTGGGAAGATCCAACACTGATAGAAGAAAGGAAAAAGGAAGACACCTCAAAATTAACAAGTTGTATGGCCAATGCGCTCTGGCGGTTAAACCCCACAGGAAGAGGAGAATCGGAAGAAGAGAATCGAAAGAAATGAACAGCCTTGCTCCCAGAGCTTTTATATACACCTCGCCAAAGCAAACCCTGTTAGAACAGTTACCCAAACCCAAATAATCACCTCATTAACTCCATCCAGATCGCCCACGTCTGCCATCAGCTCACGAATACATCATCTCATCGCCGGGATGGGAAAGGGCGCCCTCGACCTTGGCTCCGAGAACACTGCTCAGGCAGTCCATCAGTTCGAAGTCTTCCACCACCGCGCCAAAGCCGTAGCAGCGCACTTTGGTGTTCAGCGTCTCGATGATCACTTTGACGTCGTCCTTGGTCAGGCTGCGGTAGAGCTCATGGTTCTTCAAACACTGCAGCGCCATGATAGGTGTGATCTGTCCGTCCGTCACGAGCTGCCGACTGAGGTTGAGAAGGGTCGACAGGTTGGCGTGAGGGAGGTCATAGGTCTTGTGCGGATAAGTCTGCTCATTCGAGGTGGTGGCGATGTAACTGGGCGGCGGGCAGGTCGCCATCAAGGCATGACCCGAGAATGGCATGTCCTCGTCATCGGCTTCCGTGATCGATCGGCGGCAGAGATAGTCGGTATGTTCGCGACACGGCGATTCCAATCTAGACAGCAGTCAGTCATACAATCCTCAGTTGGACGAGGTGTGGCAGGCGTACGTCAAGATAAAGTCAATCTGCAGCTGGGGGTGCTCCTCAAAGATGCCCGATGGGTGCCTCGGTGCCCGGCTCACCGGCGCGATCTGGTCGAGCGTCGCTAGGGCGTCACACGGGGCGGCCTGATACGGCCCCTGCGGTGGGGACATCTCGCTCGACGACACATCAATCTGCTCGATCCCCGTGGTGATCGGACTCAAGCTTGCGGAGACGGTGGTCGGTGGTGTGGTGTACATGTTGTTCGTCGAGGGATTGGAAGGAGCAACGCCGGTGGGCTGCGATCCCGTGCTACTGCTGGCAAATGGGCTGGACTGATAGCCGATCGTGGGTCGTTCAGCCTTGCGCCGCTCGAGCTCGGGTTCGTAGTTGATGCCATGGGCCGTGAGGATGTCTTTCAGAATGGCGTTCTCGTCCGATAGCGACTGCACCATATCTCGGTGTTGAACCACAGTCAAGTTGGCCGCCGAAATCTCCTGTGTGTATGCCTCTCGCAACCGCGACACCTCCGTTTCCAACGCCCGTATGTATTGTTCCTTGCGCTCGCGGTGAGTTCTAAACAGTCGTTGGCATCTGTTCCTAGATCAAGTTCAGAGACGGGAGAGCCACGTACCTCTGAGCCTGGCGATTCAATTCCTGTCGTCTGGTAAGGGCGGGTTTGCTGTCGGGTTTGGGACCACGTCGTTTGGCCGGTTGACCATCTAGAAGGGAGTCGGTTACAACGAGTGCGGACAAGAGAGAACACATGGTAGTACAAACCTCGAGTAACCTTCTTCTGTGTGCCGCTGAAGAACTTGAAAAAGTCGGCCCCGATTGTCGAGGGTCTGGAATTGGGTTGGCCTGCATGCAGTGTCAGAGCGGGCAATTGACGGGATCCTCTCCGCAGCAAAGCGATGCAAGACACAACAAGCAACAGAATCTTACGAAATGAGGAAAGACATGTAGGTACAGCACATCACGTCATACAACATGCAGGCAGTGCAGATGACAGAATCAAGAAACGGCAGGTTACGAGCGAGCGGTGCCGACTGCAGCCTTTCCCTCATCCGGGGTGCTCTGTGCATCCAACACACATGTTCCCCAGAAGAAAAAAATGAAATGACAAACGGGCGCCAATCGTATCACCACAGGCATACAAGCAATGCGAGGTCTCCAGGGCAAAGGAAGCCGGGAACTTACTTGGCATAGCCTCTGGTGTCATGGTTTGACGATTGCCCGCACTCAAGTCCACAGATATCGGACCACCATTTATGGAAGTCATGATGGGTGTGATGAGGAAGAAAGAGGGTGATTGGGAGAAATGCGACCGGCGCGATCAGAAGATGGCCGACGGAGGACACCGACAAAGCGGAGGACGGAGGCGGGAAGAATGAGGGGAAGCGAAGAGAGCGAGAAAGAGAGAAAGGATTCGATGGGACTAGACGGTGGTGGAGGAGGAACCGACTGCAGATTAAATGAAAGCGAGATTCATTCAATCAGTCAATCAATCTGGACCGTTGTCAGCCTTAAAATGGACTTTGATTTGGTAGTCAAGTGGATTCCTCTGTTTTTTTCCAGTCCAAGCGCCTTTTACCGTTGGGGAACAAGATATACGCACCGGCAGGGTCGGACGTTTTCCCCGAAAGTGCGCGGCCGATGGAGACCTGAGTTTGGGGGGGGGTGGAGGGGAGGAGCCACCACACGAGCTCTGGACCAGGGGAAAAGGAGAGATCTGAATGGAGCAGATGGGAAATAGGCTGGCGGGGGTGGAAAAACGGCCAGGCAATAATATCGATTAATTGATTAATTGAAGGTTTGCCCGGTTGCCCGTTTACCGTCCGTGGGTTGAAGGTGGATAAATGTATAAGTTGAGTTTGGTTTCTTGGTAGTAGTAGTAACCTCTCTGTTGGAGTAGGTAAGTAAGGTAAGGTAGGAGAGAGGAGAAAGTGGATGCGCGGTGGGTGTGGTGGGCGGGAGTTGACGGATAGATTGGATGGAAGTATGGGGTGTGTCAGAAAAGGGCGAGTTTCAGTTGAGACTTGGAGCTGCAGATTGAAAGGGGGAGGAGAGATGGAGGAGGAAGGGAAAGAGTAGATAGATGATAGTATGAGGGTGAGTGGAGAGAGTGTGAGAGGGAGAGGGAGAGGGAGAAAGTGAGAGAGAGAAGAGGAAGAAAGAGGAGGAAGAGGAGAAAGAGAAAGAGACAGAATAATACTCTTGTGGCAAGTCAGTGAAAGAGAGAGTGTGTGTGAAAAGAGTGAAAAGAGTGAGTGAGTGAGTGAGTGAGTGAGTTAGAGAGAGTGGACACCCACTACTGTCCTGGATAGTCAACTAGTTTCGGTTTGGATGAATGGAGAGCGACGATAGTAGTAAAGAGTATCGACTTATTCGGGATCCGAAGTTAAGTTTGGTCATCCGTAGGCGAGCCGGCGTTATATCGACGGGGAGACCCTGTCAAGCCTTCTAGCGATCCCGAGTATTATTGGCTCGTTGCCTGCATCTCCCTTCCCTTTTTCTTCACGGACCCAGCAGAGACACCCAGCGGTCGGCGCAATGGCCAGGCACACGGCGTTAGTTAGTTAATTACAGTCTAGTAGTAGTAGTAGCAGCATCAACTTAGTAGTTAGTGGTTGGTGCCTGCCATGCACCCGGGGCGTCCACTAGTAGTCACAATAGATCCAGGCACAGATTTTAATTGGAATTGTACAGGAAGGAAGGGAATGGATTGGTCCGTGACAGAACTGATCGTGAATTTGCAGAATAAAAAATAAAGAGATAAAAATAAAAACTAAAATGAATAGATGAATAAATGTGATAACCAAGAAGAAAATCAAATATCGACCATGATTATGAATTGTTGAAAAATAAAAAAAATTACAGCATACAGCATACAGAGATCAAAAGGAATTAAACTTCACAATCAAAAGGGGAATGGTCGAAAGAATAGAATAATAATGATAATGATTATTATTATGCCCCCAAAAGGCTCATCCAAAAAGAGAGAGGGAGACAGAAAGTAGTGCAGAGGGGGAAAATAAAAAAAAAAAAGAGGTCAGTTCATAAGAGACAGAGAGAGAGAGAGAGAGAGACAGCAAAGAGAGTGTACCTTACAGTCTACACATTCCCCGGCCCGTTTCAGACTAGTGCAGGTTCTCTTCCCCCTCTCCCTCCCTCCTCTTCTCTCTCCTCTCTTTCTTCCTCTCTTTTCTGGCTGTCCCGATCTCGCCTCGGCTTTAGTATTTAGTATTAGTAGTACTACGGTTAATGTAGTACTCGATGGGCTACACAACCAGCTTAACCTTACTATACTCTCTCTCCCTCTCTCTCCCTCCCTCCCTCAATTACACTAAAATATAACATGAGTGAGAAGCTAGATGATAACCGATCATTCAATTATTCGTCTTCCTGTCAAAGAACTCAGGATGAGAAGAAAGCATCTGCCCGTGTGGAGTGAAGCAACAACTTAACTAACCGGGTGTGATCGGCCAGGCATCCAGTCACTCGGCGGTTATTGGCTATTGGTTTTTTCTTTTTTATCCTCCTCTGAATCGTCGTCGCCCCTCACGTCTGCCTGTCTCTGCTGGCCTCTTTGCCCCCCCCCCCTCCGAGTAGTTGTGAATTGGGATCCTCGCTGCATCGTCAATAATCAATCGTGCTACTACTTCCGTACTCATCATCCTCCTCCTCCTCCTCCTCCTCATCGTCACTAAATCCGCGGCAATGGTTCGTCTCTCTGCTATCCGGATCCATCGGGTGCCACTATGAGTGTTTTTATTTTTTCTTTTTTTTGATCATTCTGATTTTTATTATTATTATTATTATTTCCTCCTTTTATACATTCTTCTTCCATTCTACCTCAGTCCTAGCCTCATGCACTCAGAAAATCAGAGAGACGCAAGTCAGGAAATGGAGTGATGAAAAAAGGAGTTGGAAAGAAAAGTAAAAAAGTGCTCACGAATCTGATATATGGCGCATCTCTTTGGTCCGGCGGTTCGATCGATCGTCCCCCCGGCTGTCGTACCAGAAACCATTCTTACCTGTCGCCTGTCGCCCGGTAGTAGTGGTCCGTCAGCCTCCGTAGACTACTTCCACCTCCCCCCCAAAAAGTCCTGCCCTTCTTCCCACCTTTGCCATCCCTCAATTGACATCTCAGAATAGAGGCAGGCGCCGTGTGTAACATTCTTGACTTAATTTCGCTGCGACCCGAACAGATGGGTTTGGGAAAACAGGTTCTCCTCGGTTGATCTACCGTCGAGCCTGTCCCTTTTTGCTTTTTTTGTCTCTTCTTTTCTTTTCTTTTTTCTTTGCTCTCCCTCCACCTTCTGACCATCCACAGGATTCCCG